TCCCCTGCGCTGTGCTGGCTGCCGGCGCTGCCGGGGGCATAACTGTAGCTGGTGAGCTCATGGTACGGAGGCGGCTGACTGGAGAAGGGATGTGTAGGGTAGGGCTGATAGGGGAAGGTGTGCATCATGGGCCATGGGGAGGCCCCAGGGAGTGGCAGAGGGGCCAAGGTGTCCTGGTCTGAGGCCCCGCTGGAGCCATCATTGTCATTCAGGGCCAGGTTGGCCATGTCTGGGAGGAGAAAGCAATAATGGCAGACAAACGTTACCATTTCTGCAGATTCAAAATGTTATCCACAACAGACGCTCATTACACATCTTTGTTTTTATTAGGGATGCACAGATGCCACTTTTTTCAGACCAGCTACAAGTATTTACATTTGGGTACTCAAATACTCAAATACTTAACAGTAACACAATGTTTTTACTATAAATATTTTAATTACCATAAAGCGCAGTGACTTTAGAATTTTTTTTCATGATATTTAATTTCTGATTGTCATTAAATAAAATATAGCAGTCCAAATTACCTTAAAACCTTGGACTAATTACTTATTAATTTCTTCTCCACTGCCAAACAACCTGCTCAACCAGCGTGAGGTTGCCATTAAGTGGCATCGGTACATCCCTACTTTTTGTTGTGTCTGTTACACTTTGACATGTACCCACTTATCTTCACATGCATTAGAAACCAGAAAAGTCAGACTGCACCCAGGAAAATGATCAGGGAGGGACAGGCCACGACAACTGAACCGTCAATAGCTGGTTGCTACACTGCTGCACCTTGAGCAGTTTGTTGGGATTTTTTTTTTTTTTTTAAATCAAGCACTCCTAGAAAGTCCAGGTTTAGGTTTGGCAAGAGATTTTAGAAATCCATCCACAACTGAAATGTCCCATCCGACCCCTGCAAAAGGCCTGTCTGCCAAATGTGATTAAGTCTCATACTCAGCACATTGATGCAACTTGTTCTTTGATGTCAATGTTTCCAGTTACTCACAGTTCTCACAGTCACTTAAGTCTCCAAACACGTAGTAGCATTGTTCAGAGAAGGTGATTTTGTTGACAGTGTGTCGAATGAAGCCAGCCTTCAGCAGATTACTGGCATATTTCCTGGCTTCACGACGGTCCTGGAATCCCTCGATGTGGTGAAACAGCCACTCCACTAGGTCCGAGCCTGGCAGCGGATACAGGTACAAGGATAGTAAACTAAAACAGAACTTAAATGATCTTAAAGGGAGTTCTATGCCAGTCTTTTCATCAAGAGGCACCACTGCAAAGCATTAGTGTGTAAAAGTCTACAATTAATCACACAAGATAAAATCTGGGAAAAACTTCCTAAGGCTGTTTTTAAGTAGTTAAAACATTATTAGTAGTATTTCTATACACTGGATAGCGATTTAACTATTATTATTCTGAATGCCTGTCGACCTGCAGGCTGATGGTTTCTGAATGTGTTAAGAATGAAATGCCAGACAAATTGAAGACGACCTAAAACTTTCATTTCAAAGAGCACAAACATGTAGTTTACATAATTTGTCCTTGTGATTCAGTCCCAGGTGATTTCAATTCAGCAGATGTTTCCAGTCACAACAGGACTCATGTTGGTACTTTAGGGACTTTCTCCTTCCCACAAATAACACAGTCTTAATTCTGGGAACTTAAGGCCTGCCCTGTGAGGTTCAGCAAAGTTCGTGAAACTTCTTTTATTTGACTTGTTTCCACTTTTTTTCTTACCGAGGAAAGCATTGGGGATGGTGATTTTAAGCCACATGCGGTCCCTGACCTCCAGACCTGACTCTGGTGAGGCCATGGCCTTCGCAACCGATGCCATGTCAGAGTGTAGCGATAAGTTAAAGTCATCAAAACCTGTGGAGAGAGGGAGGAGCGCTTTAGGAGACTTTGAGAGAGAAGAAGTGGTGATGTGTGGGGATAAATGACAGATGGAATCAGAACTGGGTCAAAGACAAAAAGACTTTGAAGAGGAGAGCAGTAAACAGCAGCGACAAGGGCAGAAAGACAGATGTGGAAGATGATTTCTTCTAATGTCATTAGGGGAGAAAGATACTTTCCAATCATGAAGATCAATCAGGCCTTGAACATTTACAGACTAACAGAAGAACCTGCCAAGGTTGTGAAAGAGCTGAGAATAAAGAGAAGATGTGAAATACAGCACAAAAAAAGGATATTATGGAAAAAGGCTCTCACGTTCAGTCTCGGTGACGGAGGAAGAAGAGGTGATGGTGCTGAGGGAGGAGCTGCCTGGGTAGGGAGGGTAGGCTCCGGTCATAGCCACAGAATGGCTAACCCAGGCTGCTGGGTCGATGGGCCGGATCGGCTCATCTTAAAAAAAAAAAAAACGAGATAAGGAAAGTTTCACTGACCTTGACATCAGCTACAGAAAGGCCTTTTTGACAGTGGGTATGAGGCAGGGCCGTACTCACTACGAGGCAGAGTGAAGTAGCCCTGAGGTGAAGGGTCCCAGCACTTAGCCACCGTGAGGATGATGGGTCTGGCAAACACAAAACAATCAGAAATCCACACTATTTAAAATCTGTTTGCAAACATTTAGCTCTGATTATGTTCAACATGAGGGAACAACTCACCCTGGCTTGTGTACAATCTCTCTCAGCACCCGTACAGCGTCGTCATTGCTCATATTCTCAAAGTTAATGTCATTAACCTTAGTAAGCATCAAAGTACAAGGAAAAGGTTTTAGTCATACTGACACACAACCACAACCCTATAATGCCCTAATTTATACGCAAGTGTTCATACATAACAGTGAGTTGCTCCAAAGCTGGGAAAAAAAATGCCCTAATTTATACACAAGTGCTCATACAGAACAGTGAGTTGCTCCAAAGCTGGGAAACTGCTGGAAAAGATCCTGAAATGGGTCTCAAAATGTCCACAAACCTAAAAAGCTACACCAGTGTTTTTGCTGCACATCACTCACCTAAAAACAGTCATTTCACAAAAAAATACAAACATTCCCTCTGGTTTAGGATTAAGGCTTTATCCCTCCTCACCTGTAGCAGCATGTCACCAGGTTCTATGCGTCCGTCTGCAGCCACAGCGCCTCCCTTCATGATGGAGCCAATGTAGATGCCTCCATCACCCCTTTCATTGCTCTGGCCCACGATGCTGATGCCCAGGAAGTTGTACTTCTCTGTATTGTTGAGAAATCACTATAGTGTTAACAGTACGCTGCGGTAATTGGTTAAATAAAATTGATAAGTGCAATATTTGACTATAAATTAAAAATTTTGCTAGACTTCCCAGAAAATGAGGTTCAGAGACCAGAATTAAAAAGATCAGGAGTGTACAGACCCATGTTGAGAGTGACGGTGATGATGTTCAGGGACATTGTGGAGTCGGTCACACTGCTGAAGGAGGAGGTCTGGCATCAAAAACCAGAGAAATCACACTATGAGATTCGCTTACAAACACACGTTCTCAGAGAAGTGTTCCACTCTGTAATTAGTTATTTCAGCGAAGAGCAGCAGAGAGCAATCACTCAAATAGATGAGCAGACAGATGCTATCACAGGGGTCTGTACATACCCTCTCCAGGCGTGGGGGGCGCTGTTTCCTGCGTCGACGGTGCCGTTTAAGAAGCCTGGATGCTGTGCTCTGCT